TAAGGGGCAACAATTATTTTGTATAAGGTCCCATGATCTGTAACGATCGCCGATTAATAAAATTCGTAAAATGATTCATTACATTTTGTAATTTAATGTTAGAATAAAATACATTTGTCTAATAACTTTTTGTAATTATATCCTTTAAAAAATTATTGAATTTCATTAATTAACCAAACTTTAAAGCATTATTGATTAAACGAAGAAAACTATTTTTCAATAGAATTAAACTTAGCGAAAGAATAAAATTTTCAATTTTATTTTATTTTTTTTAAATCGTGCGATAGAATTTCAAGATTTAATCAATAAAAAAATAACTGTTAGTTATCTTATATCATATTAAATCAATTTAATCAATTTTTTACGCAAAAATGTAATTTTTAATTATTTTTATAATCAAGAAAATATTTTAATCATAAGAAAAATTAGAATATGATTAAAACATTAATCATTACGGCGTTCAATACTAAGATAAAATAATAGGAACTTCATTGTAAAGCAAAGAGGAGAAAAATATGTTTTAAAGATGTTATCATTGTATAAATCTTGTAAAGACACATATAACAAGAATTGCTTAGATATTTGACACTAGTCAAAGTAACATTATTCACGGTAACACGTTGGACAGAAACGATGGATTATGGCAGCACTTAGCCACTAACAAGCTATCAAATAAAAGCTGATGGGTAAAACAAGTTTGACGTCTGTCAAGTTAAATCAATTTTGTTCTGTTTTGTCATTTCTATTGATGCCGAAATTGTCATTTGTTTAGAAGTAACAAATGCAATTTGATTAAAATGTAATGCTCAAAATTTACTATTATTTATAAGTTCTATCTATTCTACTTCATAATATTAGTTTTAATTAATTAAAATTATTATTTTTTTTTATATAAATGTAAAGGTAAAAGTTTAAATTTCTGTTAGGATTATATGCGATTAATTTGTTTGAAACTAAGAATTATTTTTACGGGTTTTTTTAAACAATTCTTTTTGTCTTATAGAAACTAAGGGGCCCTTTTTTTAAGAATCATCGTGGGTTCGGCCGAGTCCACAATGGGGCAGCCGAGTGGTGAGGAATGAAAGTCGACACATCTGGGACAGACCACCCCCAAAAACCCTGGAGTTTTTTCGATCGCCCGGATTTAATCCTGGATCTCCAGAGCGTTAGTTTGCCTCGACTATCCGGTCGGAAAATTAATTTTAGTGTATTATTTATGAAATAAATAATAATAATATTTAATAACAATAGTAAATAAGGAATAACGATAATTTTTATTAACTTATTAGTTCTTATAACATTTCAATAATATATTTTCTAAAAATTTACAATAAACTTATAACAAAAATAAATCATAATAAGGTTATATGTGGTTAACTTTATTATAATTCTAGTAAGAATTTAAGATAATTTTGTAATATAGTAATATATTTAAAATAATGGAATTAAATAGTAATATTGATATTAAAATTCTAGAAATAATTTTTATTTTAAAAATTTTAAATTTTAAAATCAAATATTCTTACATTATTATAATATTCTTATATGCAATTTTTATATTATTATTAAACTAAATTAAAATTTTATAAAGTTAAAATATAAACATTATTAGTTTCTTGTTATGTCTATTATTATTTGTTATAAACAAGTTATAAATTAAGAAAAATATATGAATTATAAAATTCAAGTTGTTCTCTTTAGTGAGTGATTTATGTTGACTTATTTCTTTATTTATATATACCTAATATCATAGGATAAATGAAAGTGTTTTCACAGACGGGTGGATTCACTTATTGAGGATTCGGCAAACCCCTATGGACTGATAGCTTAATGGACTAAAGGGACGGTTGCTTGATCACGTTTTCATTTCTACTAAACCGAATGTGAACCCTTAAAAGCATCTTTACATTAGTGTAGTGTAGTAATGAGAGGAAAAATTTTTTAAATTGATATATTCGAATCAATGAGTACAAAGGGATTGCGTAAAGTACTATATAATAACATGTTATTTTTCTATATTACAGCACATTAATTTTACCGCGTATAAGTCATATTAAAATATACATTTACATTAAACATTAATTTTTTCCTTTAATTTACAATATTGTGATATTAATTTAATTAATATGAAAAGATTTTCGTTAATATTATATTAGAATGTTTTTAAATAAAAGTTTATATGAAATGCCAAGCTTTAGTTATAAAAATATTTTAAAAAATCGTCTTAGAAATCGTTTTACTGCAGTAACTCCTCGTTATATCGAGACAAACAAAATAAGCGATGTATCAGATGATGCGTTATAACTTATGTGTCTACCCATTGTTAGCTAAAGCGCTTTTATATTTGGAAGACAAAAAAATAAAAATAACATGATATATCTAATGAGCGATATAACGAGAGCTACTGTATTTAAAATATATTAGAGTAAATCGGTTGGAGAAACCCATTTCGCGATGATGTCTTTTCTTTTATAGCTCCTCAATGTAACGAGATAAATTACCAAGAATTGGCGTGAGGTGAGAAACAGAAAACGTGCGATTGCTGCAGGTGTCATTTTCAATTGTCCAGTAAAAACGTAGAAAAGTGTAAAACTTTCTCATAGAAAAAATATATATGAGAAAAATATATATTCTTTTAAGCATTTTAAAATAATATATATTTCTTTCTTACTATATATATATAGATTAATATAAGTTAATGAAGTATCCGAGAAATTTGGAGTGTAGATTGCATTTCTAAACATCTTTAATTTATTTTCGAATCTTGTCCTGACATATTAAATCACACGATTGTCTTGGGTATGTTAACCGAAACTTTGGTGAGATAACATTTCTTTCGGTGTAAAATGCCCATTATAAATGTCCTTATTTTGTAACAATTTAAAATATCTAAAAGTAGTAAAGTAGGAAGAGAGAAATTTTTATTTATCTGTTTATTAATTATTAAATATCTGTTTATCATTCCTTAATCTCGAGAACGGTGTTCAATAATTGAAATTCAAGACTAAACATGGAAACATTAGGAGTAGGACATCCTGATTAACTATATACAAACTTCCAATGCAAACCGGAAGTCATGTTATTTCAATTTAAAATTTTCCCCCCGAAAGTAGTTAGATAGATGATCAGCACTAACGCATTGCTACGGAAAAATATAATGCACAGGGACAAGACACTACTAATTTGAGGTAGAGAGCATATATTTTAAATTTAATAAATTAAAAATATGATTAAAAATTGCAGCCTGGGATTGTGACGATGTCACAATAAATAATTGTTCGTTTACTATCCGTCCTTATCATTTGGTGCATGCTTTTGAAAGAAGGCTTTTCTTCATGTTCATCATATACCCGTAAGTGCCCATAGGGTGAAAAGAGTTTTTAAAATGTTTGTTCTTAACTTATTAGTCACTATGTTAGTAGTAACAGAGTGGTTAACACCACTGAACATTGGTAGTTGGTACCCGGTTTGCTCATGACGAACTAGCTGCCGAGTGACGTTTTGTGGATCTTCATGTGTTTAAACACGTGAAGATCCACAAAACGTCACGCCTAGGAAACGGGATACAATTTCCATTGTATCAAATTATTTTCTTACGATTTTTATCATTTGTGTTATATCCGTTTTATGAGAAAACAGTTCCGTTTCCTAATTATTTAGATTTCTGTAAACATTAATTATAATATTAGGAGCGTATTTATTTTGTTTTAATAGCAATCTTCACTAATTGTTTAGAAACATTTACTAAGTAAATATTTCCTATCGAAGGTTGCTACTTTGTTGACATCGAAACACAGTAATCTTCATATATGTAAAATTTGTGTTGACTTTGAATATAATTATACGTATAAACTAATCTCTATAAAACTTTAATTGAGTTGTCTCTAAAAGGAAGAATTCCAAATTACTGTTTGTTTTGACATTTCTCTCGTACTCTGACTTACTCCGCTTAAACATGGAGCAGACATCTTGTAATGTACAGTACGTGTATAGAATATATTGATTTTGATTAGTTAATTTTGAATCACTTTCAATTTTCGTTGATTGCAATTGAATTAGAGTACAATTTTATCAATCGGATTTAGTCATATCGTTGTAATTTTTATCGTGTACAAACGACGCGTGTAACATGCTATTTCTAAGGAAATCGTATTGTTCTCTTCCCTTAATACGTAAATAAGCCACGACCAGATGGCCGAGACTTTTAAGGCTCCAGTCTATTACTCTGGTGAGCTGGAATCCATTTTGAATGAATACTCCAAATAATCTTTAATGGGCGATCTTCCCGAGGCACACTCGAGTGAAAAAAACCATTGAACACTGATAGTTGGTTACAGATTCGCTCCTCGCTAGCCGGCATTCTCGATTTTCTTCGCGTATCTAACACCTTAATACGGGCTAATTTTTCATAAAAGGCCTCTTGAGAGGCATCTTCCGTTTAGCAGATGGTCCAGGCGTGTTGCGCGTTGCTTTATATTATCAAACCTACAATCTTCTCGCATGTCAGGCCCCGTCAATCAACTTCCTCCGGTCGCCTTAACGATCTGGATTCTTCCATGTCCACAATGGGATTCTTCCATGTCCATCATAGACATGGAAAAATGATTACAGGAGGTTAGGTCCTTAGCGCAAATATCAATATAATAAAGAGTCAAGCTGAAGAAACCGTATTTTTCTCATTCTACTTTTGTTATTTATAAAAACTAAATCTTATTTTTGAGTAGAAGATCATTTAAGAATTTTTAAACTTTCTATACAAGTTAAAAATATTGCTATTACATAAAGGAAGATTTTATATTTTAGTAATGAAAATAGAAATAGTTACTATTTGAAATTTAAACATCTTCAAGAACTGATGTGTTCGAGAATGTCTTTTTGATATTAATCTATTTCGGGAGAACTTCAAAATTTTAAAGTATTTTCTAATTGTATCAAGCACGAACGTTTGGAATTTTTAAAAATATTTCATTTTAAAGTTGTCATTCTTGAAATTCTTTATAATCTATAGGAAGCTCTTAGAAAACAAATTGAATGGTATGTATTATATATTAATGGTATTATCAGATGTTACATCATTAATAAGAGAACGAGTTTTATCGTTTATAATTGCAATTTGAATATGAAATTTAGTACAGAATTAAAACAAAATTTAAATTTAAAGTATTCAATAGTTATACTAAATGTGACATCATTTGGAAATTTTTACAAAGATGCTATTGAAATTTTAATTACCGCTCCTAGCTATCATTTTTCTAGTTGTTAACTAATTACGACTTTTAATCTTAACAAAGAAGTAATATAAAAATAAAAACAACTTTTTATGTCTATATTACTTAGATCTTAAAATTAATTCTTACTAACTAAAAATTATTTAAGTATAGTTTTCATTTTACTTTAATTATAAAATCGGAAATATTCTATTTACTTTAATTTTACAGTTTTCCAAATTATATATTTTTATTGAATTTTTCGGAGAATATATTTAAAATCATTTCGATATACGTATAATTATATATATGACATTATTAATTGTTCAATATAGCAAACTATCGTGTTTACTAATTTATCAACAGAAAAGTTATCTCAACGAATTAAATGAATTAATTAATGTCGAAAAATATGGTAATGTAAAAAATGATTTACAAATAAATAAATAAAATAAAAATTATTTAAAAATTTTAAGTGAATATATTCAAAATTAATAGGCATTAGCATTTCAACATCGTTGGTTTCGTTCGCAATGGTGCTGTGATAGAGAAACATGGACTTCTAATAATTGGCGAATCGTCTTTAGCGACGAATCTCGCTGCTGTTTGGACGACCATTGTGTTATAGTGTGTGTGTTTGTGTGTGTGTAATACGCCTGATAAACGCTTAAATCCGCCTTTACTATTGAGCGGCACACTGCCTTACTAAATTTAATAAATTAAAAATATGATTAAAAATTGCAGCCTGGGATTGTGACGATGTCACAATAAATAATTGTTCGTTCACTATCCGTCCTTATCATTTGGTGCATGCTTTTGAAAGAAGGCTTTTCTTCATGTTCATCATATACCCGTAAGTGCCCATAGGGTGAAAAGAGTTTTTAAAATGTTTGTTCTTAACTTATTACTCACTATGTTAGTAGTAACAGAGTGGTTAACACCACTGAACATTGGTAGTTGGTACCCGGTTTGCTCATGACGAACTAGCTGCCGAGTGACGTTTTGTGGATCTTCATGTGTCTAAACACGTGAAGATCCACAAAACGTCACGCCTAGGAAACGGGATACAATTTCCATTGTATCAAATTATTTTCTTACGATTTTTATCATTTGTGTTATATCCGTTTTATGAGAAAACAGTTCCGTTTCCTAATTATTTAGATTTCTGTAAACATTAATTATAATATTAGGAGCGTATTTATTTTGTTTTAATANACATTATTCAACGAAGAAGCACACACCCTTATAGAATATATTCATAAATAAATTCGATAAATTAATTATTTAAACATTACCTTTAATTTAAACAAATTAAAATTTCAAAAGTTTCATCTGTACATGTATTAAAATACCACTCATGAAATAATTACACATGGTAATTAAGTATCTTTATAATTTCCTTTAGCCATATTTCCATATGTAAAACACGTAGGAGTGCGTGCCCTGCATTATAATGAAGAAAAATATGCAACTTATTTAATTTTCTATATATATATATATGTATCCTACCATTTAGTTTCTAAGTTTTAAAAGGAATTAAATTTAATCTCATCTTTAAATGACAAACTTTAAAATTCTAGTAGTCTAATGGAAATAAATTTTGATGTGGCGTTAGTATAATGTTAAAGATTTTCAGTTAAAATGTTACATTTACATTATTCTTTTTACATTATTAACATTTTACCCCCTTCTTTTCCGTAATGTGGTTATTTATATAAATCCTCTTCTTGTCTGTTAATATGGCTATGTAGTCTCTGATTAATCCAGTGCTTTTAAATGTAAGTTTCTGAATAACATAAAAAAAAAAACTTACAATTCCATTTATATATAATCATTTATAATGTGTCATTCCTATCGGAAATTAACTTTTAGAAAAAGTTAAGTTATAATTACGAGTAAAATAGTAACAAGAAATGGAGTTTTTTTTTATCCTCTTCAAAATCAATTAGCCAATAGTGTCATTTTTAGTGGTGATAACATGATTTATTTTTAACATATAAAAAAATAAAATTCGTTGGAAAAAAACTAATTTACGAAGTTTTCTTCATATATTAACCGAGTTTTCAAAAATTAAATTGAAAAAAATAAGTAGTACATAGTTATAACTGATCTAAAATACTTATAACAAATTGGTTTTTCTTCCTTGTCTTTTTTTTTTCTGAATAAAAACTAACTTATTAAAATTAGCAACTAAAATCGAATTATGTAAATTTAGAGAAAGGAAAAATTTACATAATTTTTCTCTCGAGTGAACTATATTTAGTTAAGTTTAAACTCGGTATATTTATATAAATCAAATTATATTTGTAAAGGTCAAACATTCATAGATTGAAGAGCTCAAATAAAATTTTCATTTCATTAATTTTTTAAGTACATTAGCGAATAATTTATATGGATAATTAATATCTTACTTCTTAAAAATTAATAAAGTGAATAATAGATTTTTTTCAGAAATTATAGAAAATTTTAATTAAGAATAGAGGTAATTTTAATTACGAAAATTATAGACATTAGTCTTCAAAATGGTTGAAGAGGCTCACTTGTTTGAAGTCAAATATATATAATTTTGACTTTTAGATAACATGACGACCTCATAGCCGAGATAGTTTACTGTTCTAGGATCTAGGATTGAAATTTGGCAAGCAGGGGTCATATTCTGGTCACCGTCTCTGGTCTCTCCTAAGCCAATCGCTGATTGGTTAATCCAAACGATGAGCCAATCAGCGACCAGCTTGTGAGAGACGAGAGACCAGAGACAGTGACCAGAATACGGCCCCAGTTCCCCACGCAAAAGGTCTGTCTGAACGGTGAATTCCGTTCCTCACTATCTTTCCGTCCTTTTTGTGAACAGTACGGTATAACTTTTATTATGTGTATAACAATAAGACATATATATATATGTCTTATAGTTCTATACATAATAAATATATATTACATTAATGCAATAAGATATATATATATAAATATGTCTTATTGTCTGAATGTAATTATTTGTCTAAATTCTCCGACAATTGAATTGATTTTAGAAGATTCAAAATGTTTACATATGTAATATCTCTATCGCAATTGCCTCTATTGTATAACTTAATTCCTTTGAATGAATTGTTTTGTACAACGTATTGAAAACGTTTTTAATCACTGAGATTACATGATATATACGTTAATGAATTTCATTTAAATGTAAATTAGATTATATATTATAGAACTATTTTAAAAAAAATCTCAGAATGTCAGAAACCAAAGCAAAAGTATTTATGGAAGGATATGATTTTCAATGATAACAAGGATGAAAGTTAAACACGACTTTTATATTCAATACAATTTTTTATTATAAGCCTGAAGGAATATATATATATAGGATTTATGTGTATTCATATACATATTTCTATTTTTCATTATGCTTTTAATTATGATAATAGAATTTTATTTTAAAATCAGTCTTTTTCTTAACGTATACTTAATGTTATAAATATTGAATATATACAGTTCGTTCGTTTTCAATCTCAAATTGAAAACGAACGAACTGTACTGTGGTGTCAGTTTGGAGAATTACTGAAAATAGTACTGAAGTCTAGTATATATACTGTTACATGTATGTATAATACATAATATAACAGATAACAGTATGTTTGAACAGTAAAGTAACTTTGTTTCTTTGTTTGTTCGTATTTTTTATAATCTGCCATAAACTTAGAAAGAACTTGAAGCACTAAAACAATCAATCAGAGTAAGAGCAAACAAACAGAATGTTTATTTGCATCTTCAACTAGAAGATTTCAAGTTACATAAACGGAGGTTGTATATTTCCAAATTTTGAAAGGAACCAATTTTGAAAGAACATTTTTATTTATTTTTTACGTATTCATACGACTACCGAGTAAAAAATATTTTTACTTTTACTCCGTTAATTGTCTCAATGATTATTTCAAAAAGTACTGTACATATTTATTATGAAATATTGGCATAAAATTAAATAGGTTGTTTAATCTCGTAACTTTATATTTTGCCATTTATAATAATTAATTAAACTCTCATCAGATATATTATAGTTTAACTTTTTAANTGCTGTTTGGACGACCATTGTGTTATAGTGTGTGTGTTTGTGTGTGTGTAATACGCCTGATAAACGCTTAAATCCGCCTTTACTATTGAGCGGCACACTGCCTTACTGCTGACATGTTGGTCTAAGAAGTCATCACGTATAATTTCAGCAAGTTAATGCTCGGCCGAACACAGCTATGATTTCTCAAGAATGTTTTCGTCACGTTGCACACTGCGATCTGTCTGGTCTTCTGATTCGTCACCATCGAGGCTGGACGTCAGCTTCGGCCATTTAAGTTCATTTTTCATTCACAGTTTCATGCTTGTAATACTTCAAAACAAACAGAGGAAAAGATGAAATGTAAATTAAGAAATATTTCAATATATAACTGGTCAAACACCGTTATTTTCTAAGAATTATCACATCCGTAGACTCCAAAACTACTAGCCAATCGACAACTTTATTTTATTCAGATGCGTTTCCAAATTACAATATGTCCCTCCTAAGTAGGCTTTCTTTCATAGAGGCTAAATAAGTCACAAACACTTTTTTCAATACTTCTTATTTAGCCTGTACGAAAGAAAGCCCACTGAGGAGAGAAATATAATTTCCGAAATGCATCTGGGTAAAATAAAGTTGTTGATTGTATTTTTGGAGTCTATGGATGTGATAATTCCTAGAAAATAACAGTGTTTAACCCGGTTACATATTCAAATTTTAAAAAAACGGAATAGAAGCAGAATGATAAATCATAAGAAATATTTAGTTATTAATGTAAAAACTAAGCTTTAGTAAAAAAATTAAATAATAAAGTTTAATCGTTGTAATATAAAGCTAAAATTAGCAATATTTGCCAGATATTCTGCGACAGAAGATTGTACGTATACTGAAGAGGGATCGGTGAAAAATCCAATCCGAAATACAGTACATATGAATAAAAGATCTGTGAATTAGAGAGAGAGAGAGAGTTTACAAGTAATCGCGAGCAGGTATTTAATCTATTCGACAATCTGAGTCTTCTGTCGGAGATTTTCTAATGTCGGCCCTAGTTTCGAATGGCAATTTTTATAGTTCGGACGGAGAGTAAGTCTATGATGAATTTAATCAGTCGAGCCACTGGCTAGACATTGGAACGATGATCAACAGGAACTATTGCCAAAGACTAGCAGGGACTGGGCTCTGTCTGACTTGGATGGCTCATAGAATTTTTCTGCCTCACAGGAACTGTACTGTTCTCACTAACTGAATGCTTCTAACTGGGCCACCTACAGGAACCGGACGACCTGTATGACCCTTAGGAGGTCCTTTTATACCTTTTGGTCTGTTCCTTGAATCAGAACATGTCCAAAAGTGGCAATATCGGATGAAGAAATTGTTAAAAACCAATCTGAATTTTTCTTCACAACTTCTTGGATCTCAATCCAAGAAGTTGTGAAGAAAAATTCAGATTGGTTTTTAACATCTCAGGAGTGTTGTTAGAAAGGAAGTGTTATCTCTTTTGTCAGGATATGTTATTTCCTTTCCCTTTTCTAAAATCTTTTCTTCTGTTAAAAATTTATTTTGACTAAATTATAAAAATTGCAATCGGGATCTCACAATTTTATATAAAATTACATATTTAAAATATATTGCATAAAATATATGTAAATTAATATATAACGCATTAAAATGTTTAATATTTTTATTTATATTAATACGTATTTAAGTGCAATCTGTTCTAAAGTTATAAATTCTGAGATAGAAGTTTTCGTAACATTAATGGTATTCTGCTATAAACATAATTTCTATCAGAAAATATTATCTGCTCAGATAATCGTATGAAATAACTAAAGAACATCTTTCAGATTTGTAGTCATCCCTAAATTTGTAATTGTTTCAATTTATGCTTTACAATCACTTCAGACTTAACATAGGATAAACTTAAATATTAGAACAATACAATATTTCAAATTATTTCTTTTCCTAATGAAGCGACTAATAATTACATAAACAAGGATTTTGCAACGATTTTTTAAGCATTAAACCTCATTCTAAGAAACCAGAAATTGCAAGCACCGTAAGATTTTAGTGACGTGATATCTCATCATTAACGATTTAAATTTTCATTTGTTACATATTCTAAGAACATAAAATTCTATTGGTATAAAAATAATATTAAAAAATTCGGACGTGAATTGTTATATAATCGAAAAAATATTCCAATTGTATTCAAAATTCTGAAATTTTTATGTCAGACTATTTCATAACATATGTTTCAACTTCATATTATATAAACTAAACTACTGTAACGAATTCGTATTACAACCATTATGTTATTAATATTTTCCATTCTATCTTGGTTTCTTCGGTAAACTCTTCAACTTTCCATAACTCTTCTGTATCATTCGATCCACAAAGATCGTCCAAGTATATACCCCTGAATATTTTCTTCATAACTAAAAGTAATTTTTTTAATCTTCTCTATGGAATAATTGTACTTTTTTACATCATCTGTATATTTGTATTATGTTTCTCAGACAAGGTCTGTTAACAACTTTATTTTTCTCCTTTAGACAACCCATTCCTATATTCCGATATCCTATTTCTTTAATCTCTCCAAGTTGAGCTTATCTTTTCTTTTCTTTATAACCATTTTCTAATCTTATTGTGTAAATCCAGAACATAGTTCAAATCAAATTTTTGTCATTTGTAATCATATCGAGTACCGCATGATTCTTCTTAAAGTGTCTTTTAGAATTTTTCGTCAGCATTCTGCTTATTGCCATATATTATTCTTACCCGTTTTTAACATGCTTTACACTTCAAAATGTATTTTTCTTCTGTTGTCTTAATATATTTATTTTTTTTTATAGTTCTAGTTTATAAGATATTATGTGGACTCGACTTACAGAAATTTAGAAACATGAATAACAGCAAAAGAATAACACGCTGAAAGGAAAATTATCGAAAAATCTTGCTTAAAAGATATGTGGAAGAGATAGAATTATGATATAGAGAAGATGAAAAAAGAAATTTAAGAATTATATAGTAAATATTTATATGTCTGATGGACATGGAATACAACCTTGTGAATCACAATGATGCCGAAGAGTTATTGGAAGGTATATTGATTGAGAAATTGAAGAAAATAAGATAGAAAGGAAAATGCGTAGAAAAATTAAAGTAGCGAGAGTATTTGTTAAAATAATGTTGAACTTTATGTGAACTAAGAGCCCTGCTTCAGATCTTTGGCGGTTTAACCCCGATATTTCGCATCGCTTTTCGTTGCTCTCATATGTGTGTTGTATGCTGTTATATGTTAGATGAATATGTAAGATAAAATTAAAATGAGTATGCTGTTGTATTGTTGTATGCGAAGCGTGCATGCAAATTAAATAAAATTTTGAAACTGTAATTATAAAAAAGTGTGAAATTAATATATATATATATATATTTATCCTCAAAAGGGAAAACAATACAATAAAAAGAAAAATATTAGAACATTTAAATTTTAAAAATTTTCACAAAAAAATAAAATTAATATAACTTAAGGTTTCAAATTGGACAAAATATAGACAACTTATTATCGTAAGATGTCACCCATACTACACATAAATAACACTCATATTATCCCTTTCCACAGTGAAAGTATTCCTCATTTTACTGTTTTACCTTTACCAATTTTTTATATTTTAGTTTTCATTTTTATATATTATTTTATACATTTATATAACTTATCGTATCATTTATTTTTATTTTCAAGCTCATCCAGGTGACTGTTAAGTTAATACAACAAAATTTTGAAAATGTGAAGATGGTCCCCAAATTATTTGTCATGACGTTGTTTCAGGTGTCGAGACGCAGAATTTGACATTTTGTAGGGCCTAAAATATTTGACTTATTGAGATTTCAGAGTTATCCCGCAATATACTCGTCTTCCAATTTTCTAAACGCGCCATTTCATTTTTGTTTTCTTTAAACGAAGTCTGCTCCTACTCAAACATTTCATGTCAGTCAGTGAGGCCAATGTAAACTGTTAAGTAAGAGTTTGAAAATTTTGAATATAATTAAAACATACATTTTTTTCGAATGTATAAATACCTATATCTGATTTTTTGAATATTTTTTTTTCTATAATAATAAAATTGTATACTGTTAGAATGTAGAACGAATGAAAATATAAATTTTTAATAGTGAGATGACATATCTGATTAGATCTGCGATTCTGTATGGATGTGAAACGTGGCCAATGACAAAGCAGGAGGAACTACAACTACAGAGACTTAAAAATGAAATACTAAGGAAAATCTTAGGACCTGTGGTAGATTATGATGATAATGATATCATGGTCAATGGAGAACCAATATGGTGGAGAAGAACAAACCAGGAACTGCAGACAACCTACGACAAGCCCATGATCAAACAGATGATTAAGGTCAGAAGATTACAATGGCTAAGCCACGACGTAAGACTTCCTATAATGACAACAGTTCACGAGGGGTTCCCTATGAGAGGAAAGAAAAGAAGCCAAGAAGCCGTCCCAGAAAAAAAGAGGCTAGATGGGATCACTGAAGATCTTCAAGATCGCGGAATCGAAGATTGGCAGGGGCAGGCAATAGACCAATCGAAATGGAGAAGAATTGTGACTGCGTCTAAGGGTCTACAAGGCCCATAATGCTAGACGAAGAAGATGACATATCTTGGTTTAGTTTGATGAAATGCGCCAACGCAATACATGAACGATCTTCAAAGGGAAGATTCTTTCTGGGAGGAGTTTCTATAGCCCCTATTAAGCTGTTAAGTAACACTTCTTAATTATATTAAGCAAATAACATAATAACAAATAAATAATTCATCATTAATATTTATTACATTAAATTATTTTTTTAAACTTTTTTTCCAGTTTTTATATAATAATATTTAAAAAAATTATTTCTTTATTAAGTTGGCATTTAAACGATATTAATAGTAAGGAAAATGAAATAATCTTTATAATTTAATCTTACTAAAATAGTCTTTCTGTTGAAAATGCTTAAATTTGTTCTTCAGATTCCATAAAAAAATTTATTTAAAGAAAAACTAATATTAAAAGTTATTTTCACAAATATTTTTTTATCATTTTCAGGAAAAAAAACTGCTTAATTCGATAAAAGTTTTACAATTCTGTTGCTGAGCAGACAAAATACTTCATCGATTTGTAACGACTTTTGCTGAAGAATCTAAAAGATGCATTCACGGTTGGACTCTTGGCCTATTAGTAAAAGATTAAATTTCTTTGACGTTATGTTTTTTTGCATATTATTAAAAAATTAAAGCCAAAGTTTTAATTGCTTCATGGAAAAAAATGAATATTTCTCATCAAAAGTCTTATTTCGTAGACAGTTTTCTTATTTATAAACTATTTTATGTACTATTAGATTTAACAGTTACCATAGTGATGTTTGAGGTCAACGATTTAATTCCTGTTTTTCAGAGAAGGGATATATTTGATTATAAGATTAAGAAGAAAGGAAAAAATTGTTGAGATAATATGATCTAATTAAGATATTACATGTCCAACGTGTAACGTACATTGAATCTTGATTACATAAAAGGAATTACACAAACCTTATATAATCAAGATTCAATGGCACTTTAGTTTCTACTAGAATTAAAATATTAATTATTGTATTAATATTACATAGTATTTTCTTATAACACGAACCTAATAATAAGAAAGGCGTTTCTTGAAAATAATGAATGCATATGAAAGAATGAATTTCTAATTATATAAAAATGAAATGAAGAAACTACAAACTTTTTCTTTATTAAGTATATCTTTCTTCTATATTTAATTTATATTGTTATAAATTAATATGATAATAATAAATTAATTACACTATAAATTACTCTTCTAATTTTTCATGTTATAGAGGAATCCTCTGTTGTGGCTACATCTTCATCTTCCTATATACATTATATATCTTTATATATCTTTCATGATTCTTTTGGTATCTTTAGTAAGACATCAAAATTTATCATTATAAATACTAAATTTAAATAATC